ATCTTCTTGTGAAATGTTCATTTTGGCCATTATCTTTTTTTTTGATGGGTGTTATGTCTATGACTTTTGGTGGAACTTGCCACTTATTTTTTGAAATATATTAGCATGCATGCATTCGTACAAGAGAGAGAGACTCCCGAGGAATCTGGCGAGCTTGAGTGTCTAGCAGTTGACAGTAGCAACATTACATCTCAAATGCAATACCTACACTACATACAGCTCACTATCTCTCTTGCATGAACTGTTCTTTCATGTTCAGTTCCCACATTTGAACTCTCTTTTTTGCTAAAAATAGAAGGAAAAAGAAAAAACCTATTGAGAGAGAGAGAGAGAGCCTATAGTGGTAGAAAATGTTTTTTTTTAAAATAGAACATGTGCTCGTGATATTCTTTAGGCCCATTTAGTGGATGGGAAAAGTTTCTATACTTCCCTTACAACGTAGAAGATCTGTGCTTCTTCTACCATTCAACTGTTCAATTTGATCAAGTGAGTCATTTACCGTTTGATCTTAAATCTGACGTTTCAGAATATTTTATTTTTATTTATTTTTATACAAATTGTATGAATATGAAATTTGGTATATGTCATCTTCTTATTGGGATGTACCTATAAAAAATATTAAAAATAATTTTTTGATAAAATATGACCAAAATATCTATTGAATTTTTTAGAGGTATTTTGGTCATTTTATTTTATTAAGAATATTTTTTTATATTATTTACAAGTGCGAGTTTAATAGAGGATTGGACGACCAAAATTTGGTGTCAAAATAGTTCATATAAAAAAAATTTTAAAATAAAATAGTGAAGAGATGTGACATTGTGATTGGGCCAATTTTAGCCCTCTATTCAGAATAGATGGTTAGATAAGTGGAGGTATATTAATTTAGAAAAATTACATATAACCCCGAAAAGCAAACTTATTATGTAACTTACCCCCAACTAAATTTTTCCTCTCACTTTTTTCCTCAAAACGATGTTCCTTTACCAAATACCTCCAACCACCCCAAAAATTAAAAAAAGGTAAAACTACTTTTACTTTATCCTTTACCCACACCTTCTTTCCTCCCCTACTTTACCTTTTACCCACACTTCTCTCTCTTTCTTCTTTCCCACAAGACCCACAGTCCACGTACGCACTCACGGCTCGAGCTTCGTCCCTCTTTCTTGCGCTTTCTCCCAGCTCGAGTTCTCACCCTCTTCCTTTTGGAAAGATTTTTTGGCTTGAGTCTTACCCTCTCTCTCTTATACTGTCTCTTTGAATCCATGGTCTTATCTCTTTCTGTGAAACACCTTTCAATTTCTTCGGCTTAGCCCAAGCCACTTAAAAACAATGTTACCACCACTTAAAAGCAGCACGTAACTCCACTTCTCTTTATTATTAGCTAGGGAAAAGATGAGATTAGTCCACAAGCTCATATGAATATATGAGTCCAATGTTTTAGATTGTAATTTGGGCTGATCTAACGATCACGGATGTCCGATAGTGTTTGAATTTTAGTTTTTTTTTTATAAATCCAAATCAATTGAAATTTTACGTGTGTGTTCATCAAAAATAAGTGAATCTTTGAAAAATATCAAAACAATATTTTATATGAAATAAAATGATCAAAATACCCTTGAAAAGTTTTGGGGGTATTTTGATCATTTTATTTTCATGAATAAATTTTTTTATATTTTTATTAGGTGTGCCTTGATGAGAAGAACACACATTTAAAATTTCAAGTGATTTGGATTTGTAGAAAAAATAATAAATTTTAAATACTATCGGACATCCGTGATCGTTAGATCGGCCCAGATTCAATTTGGGCCGGTGGGCTCATATGCTCATATGAGCTAGTGGGTTAATCCCATATTTTCCCTTTTAGCTAATATGTAAGCACTGCCCAAAAGCAAAAAAAAAAAATTGATAGCTCCGGCAGTGGAACAAGCGCTTCGGCACTATGTAGGTGCGCTCCGGCAATAGAACGTTCTGGAGTTACAGTGCTCTGACACTGTGTATGTGCGCTCTGGCAGTGGATCAAGCGCTCTGGCACTGCGTGCACTCCCGCAGTGGAACACTCTGGAGTCACAATGCTCTGGCCCTATGTAAGTGCAGTCCGATAGTGGAGCACTTTGGAATTGCAGCTCTCCAGCACTGTGTAAGCGCGGTCAGGCACTGGAACGCTCTGGAGTCTTACGGCTCCGGCAATATGTAAATGCGGTTCGGCAATGGACGATGCACAAGTGCGCTCCGACAGTGGAACACTCTGTAGTTACATCGCTCTGACATTGTGTATGTGTGCTCCAACAGTGGATTAAGCACTTTGGCTTTGTGTAAGTGTGCTCCGACAGTGGAACACTCTGGAGTCACAGTGCTTTGGCACTGTGTAAGTGCGTTCCGGCAATGGAGCACTCTGGAATCACAACGCTTCGGTATTGTGTAAGTGCGGTCCGGTAGTGGAACACTCTAGAGTCTTAGGGCTCCAGCACTATGTAAGTATGGTCTGGCAGTGGATGATGCGTTTCAGTACTGTGTAAGTGTGCTTCGACAGCGGAACACTTTGGAGTCACAACGCTCCGACACTGTGTATGTGTGCTCCAGCAGTGGATCAAGCGCTTCGGCACTGCGATGGTTCACTCTGGCAATGTGTACCGAAAGTTAACGTGAAATCTAGCCAAATTGATTTTTGTGTATGAGAAAGGCATTTCCATCTAAAAAAAATGAACTTTTTTTTCTTAGGGGCATTTGAATAAAAAGTTTGTGTTTTAGAAAAAAGTGAGAGAAAAAATTAAACTGGGAGCAAATTGCATAGAAAGTGTAATATTGAGGGTTTTTTTTGTAGGGATGCATAGAAAGTTGCGGTAGCCATAGTATTTTTGTGGGCTGCGACTGCATTCATTGTGTCATTTACTTTTGTCAGATTGCTCAGAGGCATGTAACAGCTACGTGCGGGCGGTTCGGAAACCTGTTGTTATTATAATCAATGATCATAGGTCGGCTAGTTTGGCTACTAGGTTGAGGAGGTTACACCCTACAATTTTGGGGTGGATTTTAGAGGTGCCTTTACGTTTACAGTATAAGGTTGATGTAATTTTTTCTTTCAATCATGCCAGTCTCTTTTATGCAACTGTTTCCATGTGCTCAATATTTGGCTGCCTAGCTGCATAGTTTCATGAGGATGCCCAGTAGCTTACGTCAATTTCATAAAGATGCTTCCAATAATCGTTAAAGGATGAAGTTTTTATAAGGCCCAAACTTTATGAGCACAAAATAAAGCGTCACATTAAATTTTTGTCTAGAAAGCATTTTTTGGTAATGAAAATCTCCATGATGGCTCTAAAATCAATTTCTAACCCCCACAATGAAATTTGAAACTTAAAAAATGATATAATTCTTGAGAATATATAAACACTTATTTTTAAGGCGAATGGATGGCCTAGATAATTTTTCACAATACCATAATGTTCGAGTGGAGATATCAAAGTAAAGATTTTCCAATGCATGAATCATAATTTTCGATTAGTTATAAGGTAAGGCTTTACTTATTTTGATAGGGCTGCAGCCCTATCAAACCATTTTCCTATATGAAAAGATCATGCAATATCAATCGCGAATCTATATTATATCACAATTTACTTTTAGTGTAATGGGGTCACAATCACTCTTAGCCATTGTATGTGACATCCAATATATTCAAGTGTATCACAACATTTATGAAATTTCATTTTTTACTCTATACCCGCTCAATGATATATTCTTAACCACATGAATTTACATCTAATAGTCAATAATGATTGTGACATATTTGTACCAAAAGTAAATAGTCATTTCATATACATTTTTATACCAATAACGATGTTTAGCTATAATTATTGTACTAACAATTTTCATGTGGGCATATGGAATAACACGTAACGTCAAGAAAATAAATGTAAACTGCATTTCGTTTTTATTGATAATTTTGAAACAAAAATTTTGGTCGCATGATTTGTATGAAAATTTGTATTCAATATATAAATTTGTATTCATATATTGTTCTGTCAAAAAAAAATTTATATTCATGCATGCTATTTGCCTCTTAGTTATAAATCACCCGTTTCTCATATAGCCATTGACTTACCAATTACATAGAAACCATATACATGGGATTTCTAAGTTAGAGAGAGTGCATACCAACGGATTATCATTGAGGGGATTCTCTTAATGTGAGCAAATGGTGTCGTCTCTTGAACCTTTTGGCAATGGATGCACATTCGGGATCACGTTACCATTTCTTTGGGCAACCGTGAGATCT